GCTTCATCGCTGGCGCCATCTGCTGTCTTGACATCTGCGACGATGCCGAACTGGAAGCCCCCGACGGTGGTGTCTGCGACTGCATATGTTGTGGCTGCGCTCGCATCGTCGACCCGCTGACGTTGCTCATACCACCAGCACTGGCAACACGAGAATGCTTCGAAGGGCGCGATTTCTCCTTCTCCACGGAGAATGCCTGTTGCCGTTGAGGTCTGCTTGAACCACTGCTTGAGCTGCCGACCGCGCTACTACCTCCGCTGATCGAACTGCTCCCACTGGTAGCAGAAGCATCCGATCCAAGTGCGCTTGACGATTTGGAGTTCTGTAGCAGATTCATTCCGAATCCTCGACTACGCCCTTTCTCCTTCGACGGTGGCGGCTGAGCTCGTGATTGTTTCGACAGAGACTCTTCGAACGATGACATGGACGTCTTCGATTCCGGTGACAACGACGAAGTCCTCGGTGGGGGAATCTGCAACACAGGGGGCTTTGCAGCCGCCGTCGTAGTCGTAGTCGTCGTTGTACTAGTCACGATAGTAGCACTCGACAATAAAGGCAAGCTCCCAATACTACTGCTCCTCGCTCTGCCTCCCGTAACCGTCGTCGTGGACGCTGTACTCCGACCCCATTGAGACGCGATGGCCGAAGTTGTAACGCTTTCGCCAGCATCATCCGCCTTTTCTTGCTCCATCGTGGTAGAGCTTCCCAAGCTGATAACCCCGCTGACACTAGCCGATCCTGGCTTATGCCTCGGGCGGGAAGTAACGCTGAAAGCAGGCGTCCTCTCCCTCTCTCGGACTACAATTGGTGCTATTCCATGAGCCGAAGGCTCCTCCCGTTGCTGCTCAGTCTCTTGCTTAGCCTGATAGGGGTCACTGAGATCCACGGGACTAGGCGGAAAGACAACACCATCGTTATCATCAAAGCTGATAAGACGGATTCCACCCCCGAGAACGTCCGCGAGATCAATGTCAAGCTCTGCACCCACAGATTCGCGCCGGGGCTGAATGATCGCAGGTTGTGGTCGCCGTGGTGTAGATTTGGGAGGTTGAGAAGCTTGTGTTGAGAAGGAGGTCGTGGTTGACGTTGCTGATGGGGGAGGTGGAGTCGAAGTCTGAGGAACGGGGGATCTTGAGGGCGCCGGTCGTTGAAATGATGGAGTAGGTGACGGTGATGGTGAGAACTTTTGAGCTGGTGGTGCAGGAGATAGAGAGGGTGATGGGGCCGCTCGTACAGCCTGTTGCTGGCGACCTTTGATTGTGCCCTCAGCAGCCCCATACCGTGCATCATCATCACTCTCATCTTCCTCCTCATCTTCCTCATCTTCATCACTGTCACTATCATCAAAAGTGGCAGGAGAACGAAGATGTGGCCTTGACGACTGAGATGTAGGAACCTTCGCTGGAACAGGCAGAGGCGGAGCTGACGTGGAGACAGGCGACGGGGCACCGGCCATTTTCCCTTGCACGACGCCCTTCAACCTCTCCGAGATTCTATCTCTCCTTTGCCCACCTCCACCTCCACTGGCAGCGCTACCGCTCCCAACAGACGACGCATCACTCATGACCGTCTCCTGCCTCTTCGCGACAGGCTTCCCTCCTCCGATAGCCGACGAAGCACCAAGGCTAAACACGCTCCCACGCGGCGAGCTTGGAGGGGAGACAAACTTCTTGTTCGCAGGCGCGGTCGTGCTATACATCGACATAGTCGGTGACGTCGCTCCCTGTCGTTTCTCAGGACTACGCGTCCGTTTTCGGCCAGTTCCCCCAGAGAGTAGAGTATCCCCACCTGTGAATCCAGCTTTAGACTTTGTGGGACTCGTGCGTGTGTCTACGGCTCCGCTCTGTAATGGTACCCTATTGGGCCCGGTGAGCTTGTTGATATCGATCAGCGGCGCTGGACGACGTGAGGTTGTCGAGGAATCTTCTGAGTGGCCAGATGCGGAGTGGGATGAAGGTAGTGGGGGCGCGTTCGATGACTGGAGGTTGGATGGGGTTGGGTTATACGAGGAGAGGGTAGACATGGTTCTAGCTCTTTCTTGAGGTGGTGGTGTAAAAGACGAAGGGGGTACCCGTCCGTTCAAAGATGAATTCGATCTTGAGGATAGCGCACTGCCTGGTCGACGTGGTGGGAGAAGGTTTCCGAGAGGTGTATTGTCTTCGTCGGAATCGGAGTCGTTCGCTGCTGCGGATGGTGGGATAAAGTAGGTTGGTTAGAACCCAGTAAACCTCGGGAGCGGGAGTAAAATTAAGAGGAAACGAGGGTGCACGTTAGCGCAGCCAGGAACGCGGAAGGCGGTACACGGTACAATCGCCCATCGTTGCTTTCCGCATATCACGTAGGAAAGATTTCCCCCGACGCGACGTAAGGAATCGAAGGCAGAAGACGGAAGATGGCCCGTTTTCCTATCTCTCCATACCATTGGTCCATGGCAGATTCCCCGTTATTTTTGAAAGCAGAGAGAGCTATAAGAATAGAAGGATGAGAACTCACCTTGCGCTCTTTGTGGTGCTTGGGAAGGCAGGGGAATGGCGGGGTTTGGTCGCTGGACCGATGGAGCTGTAGGAGATATCAGATCAATCAAACCCAATAAGGAATATTAGACAGGGATGGAAGCATGCGTGAGTAGCGGTCAATGCGAGCACAACATGTGGTGCCAGGAGAGCGAAGGCGAAAATACGAAAAGCAAAGCAAGGAAGTAGGTAAACTCACCGGCATAGCTGCTTCCGTGACCAACCTCACTTTTTGTCTTCCCTCTTGTAGGCTGGCCTCTTTGGCTCATTGCCCCATGTCCGCTCTCACTCCTAGCCCCGGAATAAGTTCTGTTGGTTACGGTCCTCTTCCGACTCAATCGAGGACCGTCATCATCGGAGTCATCCTCTTCCTCCTCTTCTTCACTACTCTCGTCTTCACTAGTGAACGTCTGAGAGACTCTCCTCGAGTTGAGATTGAGTTGGCTCCTCGATTTCATACCCGGTGCCACTCCAGGGCCTGGACTCACTCTCCCGTCGAAAACAGGTGAGCCAGCCATGCTGCGTCGAGCCTGGGCTTCTCGAAACGCGGCAACACTAATACGTTGCGCCTGTGAGTCGCTAGACCCATTCCGTGGTCGGGCAGTGGGGTGATTGAGAGGGGGCGGGGGTACGAGCGATGTGGAAGCGTTAGGACTTCCAAGATGTGGTTGAGAGGTCTGTGAGACCGAATAAAGTGATTGCGCATTTGGATAAGGCGAGTTAAAGGACGGATTGGGGCTTGTACCAGGGGAATTCACAGGTGAACGAGACGGCGAAGATGAAGGTTGGACATGCCGGAATGATTTGAGGTTGAAGCTCTCTTCTGCTGTGAGACCATTGCTGTCGTCCCGCTCTTTCCCTTTCGCCCCGCCCTTCTTAGTCTTTTCTCCTGACGCTTTCGACTCAGTTTTCGACCATGAGAATAGGGACTTCTTCTTTTCCTTCTCGCGCTCTAAGCCGTGAGAAATGTTGGTAGGTTCCGTCACTATTGATGTTGGAGACCTTGTCAAATCCGCATCATCGAGTAATGGCAGAGGTTTTGACGTTGGCACCGTATTGAGAGGTCTCAATTCCGGCCGTCCGGGGTTAGTGTTGGGTAAGGACCGCGTTGACGCACCACCGCCCAATGCCATTCCGAGCTTCGGCGGTACAAGCGGGATTTCAGAATCCGAAAGTGCCCCAGCAAATGAAGGACGCGGTAAAGATGGTGGCGCAGGCAAAGGTGATGAGGAATCGTCTTCTGTGGATTTCACAGACTGTGCAGAACGTCCTTTCTTTCTTCCAAACAACCGTAACCTGCTGCTCGATGCTGAGGCCGTGGATGCCGGACTGTTCGCTATAGATGGGTAGACCGAGCTATTTTTCTTCGGCGAGACAGATAATTGGGCTTGGTAGGCATGATTCGGGTGTAAGGAGCTTCTCCCATTTGGCGATGAAGGAACGTTGGCAAGAGAACTGGCGACATCGACGTACTCAGCTGAAGTTGGTGATTCTGGCGTCAATGAGGAATGCAGATAAAGAGAGCTCTGGGATTTCGTGGCAAAGGATTGGCCAGTGGTGGGCGTAGACGACGAGGACGAGGTTTTCTTGGAAAAGAATGTACGGAGCGGCATCCTATTTGTCGGTTAATTCATTGTTCCTCGTGGTGGAGGACGACGACGAGCGACACTCACTACGTGTTACTCGTCGACCTCGACGACGAGCTAGTTATCTGGGCCACAGCTGGTATTGATTTGGGCGGTCTCCAGGTTGGAGGTTGTGGGAGAAGGGATCGCAGGAGTTGCACGCTGTAACGGCAACCCAAGCGAAGCTCAGCACGTGGCCATCCATCCAGAAAAGGAAATACTGCATCATCCTAATTTTCCACTGCCACGCCAATCGGAGCCTCCCAGCCCCTCTCCCTCAGCCTACCTGCATGCGCCACCGGCACAGCTGGTTGTTATGTCGGACTTCGGTGAAATTATTCCTGTCAATGTCATGACAGTAAGCACCATCCTCTGTGTCGCCCTCCCTGCAGGCTCCTTATTCTTCTCCAACGCAGCGTGCTTAGCACACGTCACTGAGTCCGTATCTCGTGAATCATGATTCCCAATATTCTAGCCACTACATAGTTGTAGCTATAACTGTAGTGGCCAACATGTAGTTCAAATAATAGATCAACGCTCTACAGGTTCTTGGCAAATCCTCGTGCTTGTCTTTGACAGCGAAAGCTATCCCATGGTCACCTTCGTGAGTAATATCTTCTCACCTGATACTGACGGTAATGCTTAGCACGGGTACCGGTGGGTGTGAACCACAGTTTCCATCAAGATCGACATCATACGGTCGCGATGACGAGCGATGAAAGATCACCAATAATCCCAATTCAGTTTCATCTCCCACTGGTGCTCACGAGTCTCCAAATTCCAGGAAAACAGGCGCTCGCCACAATCCACCAGGGCCCAAGCACCTATCCCCATGTAGCTGGCCTTCTTCCGCGATTAACAAGGCGCTATAGCCAAGTGGTTACGGCGACAGATTCGAATCTCAAGTCGAAATCTGTTCCTCTTTGAGGGCGCAGGTTCAAATCCTGCTGGCGTCGTGAGTAGGCCTCTAACTTTTTGCCACCATTAATGGACTGGTGCATTGAACAAGACCTAACCAAACCCGAGCAAGAGATCCCCGGCCGTGATGGACTCGAGTCTAGGATAGACTGGTTTTCGACATTCGGGAAATTGTACAGCCCTGCATAGGATTCTAGTTCCCACTGAATAACATCGGGCACCTGGTAGGTTGCCAAAGCACTTTATTGACCGTTGGCCCGATAGCCTTGGCTAGAGTGATTGCTATAGACTATTCACCTCTCACGTTGAAGAGTTCTGGGTGGCATCTTCATTCTTATGAACCTCCTGCCGATCTCCAAGAATACTCGGGAATGCTCGTACTTGGCCACCCTGGTAAATTACATCAATGATTACGGCGGCACCGAATGAAAGGCAGTCCTCGAGTCCAGCCTTTCCTATTCCCTTGTCAACTGCCAGCTGGCTGATCCCACGAGTTCCCGCATTTCAATGTACTTACACAAGAAACGCGCCCTATACTTGAGGCAGACTCGCCTCCCGCGTCTATTAAATCCCGTCTTCCTTGCATCCCGGACTGTATACCCCTCCCCCACAAAACTATGGGAGACTACTATCAATGATTTGATCTGCATAGGTGTGGTGAAATGCAGGTGTCAAAACCGAAAGCTTCTGTCGCGAAGCGTCGCCATCATCGACCTCGACTTTCGACACCTTCCAACCGCAAAATCGCGCGAAATGAAGACCTCTTTCGTCATATTCCTGTACATTTCCCAAGAATACATCATTCATTTCCCCTACAATGCATGTACGAGATCCGAAAGAGGGGTGCGTAATTACATGGCACGGAACTTGCAAACCTCAACCTCGGCATTTTCCGAAGCGAGGTCGTTAAGTACCGCTCAGGTGATTGTTTTGCCAATGCTCATGTCGTCAACAATGTTTTCGCCCCTGTTTCGCCTCCCCAACGAGACCTTGGAAGAGATTGCTTTCCATGTACGTTGCGCTTGTGCTCTTCGAGCTTCAGCCTAACGAGAAAATAGTGTTCGGACTCTCGCAAGGGGAATGACGCGAAAAACTTGCGGTTGACGTGTCGAAGAGTCAACGCCGTTACGGAACGTGTCTTATGGGAGACGAGGAGCGTGTTGTTGTTCCTCGAGCAGCCCAACCGGCTATGCTCGAGGACTATTCGGATGCTCGAGGACTTCAAAGATGGAACGTGCAGTCTCGGGGCGACACGTTGGATAAAGAATATCAAAGTGATAGCCAGGGCGTCTTACCACCGATGCTCTTGTCATGAATTCGGGGAAACCCACCTCACGGATGTCGTGGACTACGGCCTACTGACCTCAGCTTTACGAGCGTTGAGGAATATCAGGCGCGTAAAGTGTGTGTTATTTTTAGTTTCTCCGGTCCCTTCAATTGAATATTTGCTTCCAAGGTGCCGAATCGGTCTCATCCATACCCCGCAATCAAGTTTCACAGAACGGAAGGTCATGGATACCCTTGCGACCCTTCCGCTTGTCTCCGAGTTCCTTGTAACCTACATTCGTCCACCATTAAATCACTCGATTCCTCTGGACAAGCTCGGAAATGGACACCTTCAAAAGTTAGTTATCAACGGAAGTTTCAGAGTCGCAGCTCCGGAGGACAACTACCTCGGCTCTCTGTCGGATCTCCTAGCACGTAACCCAAGAATATCTCATCTGGAACTAATTCTAGACGACTTGACACGGCCATTCTGTTTCTCGGATCTCTTCCAGCATCGACCGTACCCTCATATACTTCGCCTCCAGACACTTATCCTCAACGGATGGTCGCTCGAGTGTAATTCCGGCGTAATACCCCACTTACAGTCCCTCCAGCGGCTGGAGCTACACTCCGGTATTGTCGTCGAGCCGGAATTATGGACCGCTTTCAAAGATCACGGCATATCCCTCCGCCACCTGCATACTTGCCAAATCAATGAAGAGCTCCTGGAATATCTCAACTCATTCTCCGCCCTCGAAACGTTGGTTTTCAATCACCAACTCGCTCCGGGGCCCGATACGGAGGAGTCCCGGACTATTTCACGAAGGTTCTTCGAGCGTGTCCTTCCGCATCATAACAAAACCCTACAAATTTTGCGCGTGCAACCATTCCCAGATGCGTGTGAATGGGGTGTCGGACTCTGGAATGTCGAGGTTCTCAAGGCGTTGAGACGGTTAGAAGTACTCGAGATTGCACCGAGTATGCTGGAAGACCACCCGGTACCTGAGAGTCGTCGCCTCATGGTGCGTTTCGAATGTACAATTGTCATACATTTGAATCCTGACGTTGGTTACTTTATAGAACTCGCTCGTTGAACTTGCATTGGATCTCCCGTTCCTCCGGACACTACAGCTAAACTCAAACATTGCGCGCCGACCTTACCTCGCGGATACGTTGGCAAGCACAAGACTTTCTCGATCACCTCGAACACCGGAGTCGGCATTGAGGATTGTGGCGCTTCCGGTGTCTACGATGTGGTATACCCCTTGGACTGTCGAGGAGGAGATCGGGTTGCGTTTACAAACGATCTAAGGTCCAGTCAATACTATTTAGTATCGTATTTTAATTTTACCTGCACTGGAACCTCCACTCTGAACATTAGCCTAGTATTATATGACAGTAACCACGATGCTAACAAATCATCTTTCCGTCACCGCCTTGGTGTTCCCCCCCGTTGAAAAGGCATCATGTAGCTTTTCGGAAGGCGATATAGGCCTCCGAGCCCTCTGGCTTGTCCTTCTGGGGCCAGCCCCGTGGCAGTGAGAACTCCGTCGTGATCTGGGCTCGATAGATCGAGCCCTTGATGTAAACCTCGAAGTGGGGAATCATAGACTCATCTGGCGGTATCAGGACGGACGTCAACAAAACATCAATCTCGAAACAGTAGTCATCGTAGTCATAGAGTATTGCCAGGGTCAAGCGCTCGAGCTTCGGATGATTCGACGTCAGGTTGAGGATTAACATTTTCTAGGGGCTCGGAATTAGCCTCCAATTCTGTTGGGAAAAGCAAAGGAACCAGTACTGACCATGACATTTTCACGGCGGGCAACTATCTCATCATACGGCTCGTGTTCGGGGTCCTCATACTCAAAACCGAGACCAATGGTGAGGTGAGTAAGCCCCTTGCACGAGTTGAGAGAGTGAATGTTATGGTAACAGATTGCCCAATCGAGGCTCTCCATATCGGGTTCGATACCCAGCACTTGAAGGGTATGTTGATGCCTGGGAAGAATATGCTGGAAGAAACGTTCTGATAATGCTTCGGATAGTACATGATCCTCAGGTTCGAAGTAGGTGAGATGAAGTTCCTCTAAGCCAGAAATTGACTCCACGTAGTCGAAAAGCTCGTTGCTGATCATCTGAACGCTAATCCGACGCAACGATACTTGCTGAACGGAAAGCATTTTCCACAATACCTCATCCCGGTAATCACAGTCGGAGAGATCCAGGGAACGTAGATGTTTCAGATGTGGAATTACATTTGGATGCCAGAAGTCGAAGTCCCATCCGGTGAGGTGCAAAGTTTGTAGGGGTAAAGCTCTTGGACGAGCAGGCTCGAAGAGAGCGGAAAATGGTAGCGTGGGTACCGGTGGTAAAAAATACCTGGACCAGTCGATTGATATATGGGAGAGCTTCGTGTTCGAATGAATGATTTGGGCTAAGGAAGACATTACACTGCCCTGAACCTTGGAAGGATCTCCCTTCAGGGAGATCTTCTTGAGTTTACCCCCACGAAATGCATCCGATGGGAGGACGGGAATATAGTCGCAGCGGATGATCAGCTCCTCAAGAAGAGAGAGGGAGCCCAATGAGCGCAAAATGCTACCGTAGCGGGATCGAGTGACATTCGAGTCGTCCCAATACACATCCCACCTATATCGGAGTAAACAAATACATGATCAACGTGCCATCTCGTTAGCGGTGAGCACAGAATGTACTCACTCAGCAGTGCGTACGCTCTTTAAGCTTTGTATGGCAGATAAAAGGAGACTCAGGTCGAACGGCTGAGTGTTCTCTGGTTTCCGTGGCCGCCGACCCGGACACACAATTAACACCGTTCGAACCAAAACTGAGGTCCTGCATCCAGCCTTCAATTCTACAAGCATCTGCACACTCTCTTCTGAAAGCCCGTCTGGATTTACTGTCATGTTTAAAGCATGGGTCCGCCATAGAACGTGCCCGGCTGCTTCATGAATTTGTCTATTCACCAAGCGCAGATTTTTCGTATCGGGACACTTCTCGAATCTCAGTAGGTCATAGATAGCTGGCATGAAAACCACTTACATGGAGAGCAACTGCTTCGAGGAGTTCATTTGGGAGGCCGCATATCGAGATCATCGAGGGTGAATGCAACCTTGTCTGGCCGCGTTGTAGTCTTCTACTAATGGCGACGGGTACCCTGTGGGAATATTTTTTTAGTCATGTGTAGTCTCCCACGGCGCGTCGTGCTGGTAATTAGAGAGAGAAAAGCGTGTTTCGGAGGCGACAAAACCACAACCAATGTCCTCAGACTCTACCTTTTCCTTCCGCTCGCCCGAAGGCAGACATTTCTGTCGCGAAGAACTTAAAAAACACCTCCCGTTCGCTCCGCACGAGGGGATAGGGTGTTTATTGGATGGAAAAGACTTAGTGGTGCTCCATGGGACTGGGGGAGGGAAATCGGGATACCTATTCATGCTCGCACTAATACTCAAAGCCCTCGCTACCATCAGCACCCCAAAACTCCCAAAAAAATACCCAAAAAAACCGTACATCGTTGTCGTTCTCCCAACTACATCTCTTGAGGACGATTAGGTGGGGTCACATGATGGTAAAATTCGACGAATCACGCCATTTCTTGGGCGAGATGAGAGAACAGGCCGTGGGAAGGGGGCGCCCAAAATTCCCACAGGGTACCAGGCGCGTTTGCTAGCAGACTATATCTGAACGGGTGCCGCGTTCACTATAGTCTGCCTTTGGGAGACTAGCCGCGTTGCCTCATGAAATTTTATTT